AGACGAGTTTCCCTGGTCTTGGCCAGAGTGGCCACCAGGGAAACCTGGGGAGGGCTAGCCTCCCACTAGTTCGAATTAAGGGTCTACACAGCCCTTAATTCGAACTAGTAAATTCGAACTAGGCTTAATCCTCGTGGAATGAGGATTACCTAGTTCGAACTAAGCGCTCTGTTAGTTCGAATTAAGTTCCAACTAACGGAGAGCTAGTGTAGCGCCTATGAAAGTTAGTTCGAACTAACGTCCGTTAGTTCAAACTAACTTTGTAGTGTAGACATACCCAGTGAGAGCCGAACTAGTGGCTATAAACAAACATTGCCAGTTCATGGGAAACTTGGCCCCCCACCAGCAGACATCCAAGTACCTAAAATCATGCCGGACCACAGATGTTGCCAGACCAGAGAGTGCTGGACTAGTGAGGTTTAACCTGTAACAGTGTTTGGGAGACAATCTGCAAGAAATGAGTTTTGTGGAGGCTAAAGATGTATCTGATACATGTGAGGGGCAGAAGGAGGGGAGTGTCTGCTATTCATTGGGGCAGTAAGGCAGAAAGCAAAGAAGTGCTGGTGGGAGGAGAGGACGAGCAGGCAGCAGTGGCTGGGAAGGCTGGTGGAATAAAGGTAGCAGTGGATGATGTGATAAGGTAATACAGCAAGTTCAGCCCTGAGTATGCCTTAAAGCAGGGCTACTCAACACATGGCCCGTGGGCTACATGCAGCTCACAACCCGTTTGTCTGCAGCCCACGGTGCGGTTTGGGTTTACATTGCAGCTTGGGTTGATATGTGTTTTAGTAGTTAAATTCCTGAACTGTTATGAAGCTGAAAGAAAAAAGTAGTGGTCTTCTGTTCATATGCATTTTAGTAGCTTAATTCCTAGACTGTTATCGCTCATTAAAAGTGCTGTCATATAGGTGGAAATTGGGTAAATATTGCATTTTATTAATATCAGCAGAACTGACTTAAATGGGACGTATGTGTTGTGTAGTCTGGCCTTAATCTTTGTATTCATACCTATCCGTGTGAAAAGCTATTTGCATATATTTGCATGTATATGCAACCACACTTCAGTTGTGATCTTTGGCATGTGCTGCAAATATCATTGTGGCTCTCAGGGCTTCCAAAGTTGAGTAGCCCTGCCTGAAAGGGTAAGGGCAAGAAGCTCCTCCCACTGAGTCACCATGAAGTTATTATCAGTTTGATGTTAGGGATACATACAGGATCGCTTTAGCTGAGATGAAAGAAAACCAAGGCAACTGTCCAATCACGACGAGAGATGATCTCTTGGATTTTCTTGAAAGCTAACCCTGCTGTTCTAACCAAATTAAATGGCCTTCTGACAATTACCCAGTAGTTCCATCTGTAAAAATTATTCCTCACTTCCTTTCCTAAGCTCTGCGGCCCAGAATGGCTGCTGCCTTCCATCCTGCAGTGGTCCATGTTCCGGTATTGGTGGGTGAGTGATCTTGGTATGTGCACTTAGTAAAGTGCTTTGGAGCCTGTTTGAATGAGACCTGTAGTTGAAATGCTACTAAGTGCAATGGAAATACAGAAGTGTCCCAAAGGGAAGTACTCTTTTACCACAACTAAAACTGTTCCCAAGCTCTCAGCCTAAATTCCCTCTGGAACTTCAATTGGAGAAGTTGTTTATCATTTCCCTTCTGAAAAACCGCTGCATGGTGTTCCGGGTGCAGAATGGCTTCTGGACACTACCCAAAGCCAAACTCCAGTACTAAGAACATGATTTGGTCCGTACATGCTGCTGAAGACAAATAGGATGACATTTCTCTTCAGCAGGTGCCTCCCATGAGCATGGTAGGAACTATGGGCCCGATCTTCATGTGATGTAAATCAGCTATGCCATGCTGATATACACCAGCTGAGAATCTAGATCTACAGACACCCATATGTATAACAAATTTATTGTGCTAGTTTTTTGTTAAAAATCAAATCTAAAACCACACAGGGTCTGTAAAGAAAGAGTCCATTCCCTCTCTCCCTTGTTTAATTTCTTTCTTGAGGTTATTCCTCAAAGCAATAGAGTTAACACCCATCAGCCAAGCTTCTCCCCTCACACAATGTTTTATGGCTACTAAATGCTTTGTTAATAGGAGCTTTTAGAATTATTTACCTTTATAGATCTGTTTCTTCAGCCGCGACATTGAATTTGTACAATGAGGACCTGAAAAGGTGGATTCTGTTTTAAAGGTCACAAACACAGTTGGAAAGAAATCTGTAGGGTGAAAGACCAAAGAGGAATTCTCTGTTGCTTCAGCATGGGGCACTGTATTGCAGCAAATCAATGAAATCTACAGCAGGGAATTCAAGTGGTTTTGTTTTCTGCATATTGTATATAAATATACATAAACTACAGAGAGCTACCTTAACCCTTAGCATACTGCACACTAATATAATCATCCAGAGTACATTACACTGCAATGCCCTACCCAAATTTGCTCCTCCAGAGTGCTTTCCCCCATCATTGTAAAAGTGAAAGTTATGTCAAAGGTTTAGCTTACCGCAGAAGCCACAATATTCAGATAGACAGCGGTTAGTAAGGTGCTTTGTGACCACTGTCACTATTACAGTGGATGACCTAAAGAGGAGCTCAAAAAGCTTGTCTCTTTAACCAACAGAAGTTGGTCCAAAAAAAGATCTTACCTCACCCAATTTGTCTCTCTTATTCCTTTATTTGTTAGATGATATGTATGACCAGAGACTGTACTAAGGTTCCTCTGAGAGCCGAAGCACACAGGTATAATGGGACAATGCAATAGGGACATAAAATCACCTTTTTTCAGCCCCTAGAAGAATACAATGATGCTAATTGGGACATTATGATAAGATGATGGGCAGATGTGTAACAGATTAGAGTGATGGGCACTAGGAAACATCAGGTTTGTGTTTCATATCTAGTGCCTTCTCTCAAACGTCCCTACATATTTGCATGCGGTGTTGTTGTTGTAGCTGTGTTGGTCACAGGATATTAGAGAGACAAGCTGGGTGAGTTCAAACAAGAGCTCTTACTGAAGCCTGGGAAACTTCCTCAGAGACTTTCCCAGACCTGAAGATGAGCTCTTTTAAAACCTTGTCTCTCACCAGTACAAGTTTCTTCAATAAAAAATATTACCCCACCCACCTTGCCTCACTAGATATTTGTGCCTATTAGTTGGTTGCTTTTTTGGCCCTACAGAGATAAGTGGCCTGTCTTCCAAAAAGCTGCAGTCCGCTTCCTTTTCAAATCAAAGGATGGCATTTATGAACATTATAGCTTACAGTGATCCCTGTGTCTCCATTCTTTCACCGCCACCAAGAGCCTTATCCTGCTCTTTGAAGTCAATGACAAAACTCCCATTGACTTACTGGGGAAATGCTTCTCTTTCTCTTTTCTCATGTACTCACAAGCATGAGTGCCCAGCCAGGTTTCCAGTGTTAACAGGAAATGAGGCATTTTAAAGTAATTCAGCTTTGCTCTGATTGAGGTCTAGCACTTGCTGTAATATCCTCATCATGCGCAGTCAGATCTATTATCTGTGATGGCATCGGTGGAAAGATATAGGTGACAGTTATATGAAATTGCAAATCTTTGTTCCTCCATGTTGAGTCAATGAAACCTCTAACCAGTGACTCCTACATAAGAGCTACTGGGTTACTCTGGTCTTTCCTTCTGGATTTGTTGAGTGTATGATCATATCCCACACTTCATCTAGTTTCTGCATCCTTAAAAGTGAAATATTCAAAACTATGTAGAGTCTCACCATAGCTCCATAGTTAAGAATGAGTTGAATTTTGCACTTAAAACCTCTATTATTTGTGAATAGCAGATATCCTCCCTAAAAATTGCTAAAGGGATGAACAATGTGTGTCTGAATATTCGTGGTGGGGTATATATTTGAGAACTGATTTATGGAGGGATATGGCTTTGCATACTATTTCCTTTTGGGGGGTTTGTTGTTGTTACTTTTATTGTCCTTAGTAACCTTGACTGTTTTTCATAAAAGTGTTATTTAAATGTTTGAATAGACTATAGACAGGATGAGGCCAACAGATTGGATCATGCTTAACTGGAGCTATGGTCACATCAGAGGTAACCAGTCAACCTTGTAGCGCCTTCTACTGCTAATTTGCATGCTGTGATTTTATTGGCTGCAGTGTAGAACTGAGGGTATGTTTACACTACAGAGTTCTGTCGGAAAAACAGCCGTTTTTCTGAGAAAACCTGAGTTACGTCCACACTGCAATCACGTTATTCCGAAAGTAATCAAAAGAACAGAGGGGTTTTTCCAGAGTTGGTCATCCTCTTTCTACAAGGAAGAAACCTTTTTCCGAAAGAGCTCTTTCGGAAAAAGGCGTGTGTGGAAAGAGAAGAGAGAGTTCTTTCCCAAGAAGAGGAAAGAGGAAAAAGCACAGGTGCCCTGGTGGCCATTGCGCCCATAGTAATCACAGCTTATATCCGAGGTAGTGTCCATTCAGTGTGGATGCTATCTGTCGAAAAAGCAATGCTTTTTCGATGCACTTTTGCAGTGTGGACACTCTCTTTTGGAAGAAGTTTTTTGGAAGATCTCTTCTGGAAATGCTTCTTCTGAAAGAAGCCTGCAGTCTAGACATAGCCTAAGAGTGATGCTATCACATGCCTTTAGCATGTGGAACTGGAAGCTTTACTGCCTACTGGGAGTCAGTTATCCAGTTTCACTGGCAACACACTTCCCTCTAGTCTTACACAGACCCAGTTCTCTCTGACAGGCAAATTCCATCTTCCATGAATCTCTCTAGAGTGTCTGGACCCTGTTTTACTGGATACCCACGAGTTGTGTCTACACTGGCCACTTATTCCAGAAAATCAGCCGCTTTTCCGGAATAACTTGCCAGCTGTCTACACTGGCCCTTTTCCGGAACAGTTTTCTGGAAAAGGACTTTTGCCCGAATGGGAGCAGCATAGTTTTTCTGGAAAAGCACTTTTTCCGGAAAAGCAGCGTCTGTGCCAATGTAGACGCGCTTTTCCGGAAAAAAGCCCCGATCGTCATTTTTGTGATCGGGGCTTTTTTGCGGAAAAGCGCGTCTACATTGGCACAGACGCTGCTTTTCCGGAAAAAGGGCTTTTCCAGAAAAGCATCTTGCCAATATCGACGTGCTTTTTCCGGAAATACTTAATGGAAAACTGTTCCGTGTTAAGCATTTCCGGAAAATCATGCCAGTGTAGACATAGCCATGGTGTTTACAGCTTTGCTGCTTCCCAAGAAACCATACATACCAATTTACTAGTTCCACCTCCATGCACCAGTCTTGGCACACAGTGTTTTTATATGTTTACAGTGAAATCATGTCCAGTGCCAGTTCCTGAGCGCAGGGAAGCCAGATGGAAAAACTGGAAGTGCTGCAGTACCCCCTGCAGTCCTACTTCCTATGCCTATGCCTGTTGGTGAACTAATATGTATATATCTGGCCCAGTGGGTCTCTGTAATCTCTGTGCACTCCCGTCTCAGCCCTCTGCCAGCTGGCACTAAATGGTCTCTAGATTACACTGAAGCTCATCATGAACTTCACCAGCTTTCACTCCAATTACAAAGGTGAACTTTGTTGACCTGCTTTCTTTTACATAAATACATAGCAACATGCATTCATATAACATACCTAAACAAGATGTCCCATTGCAAACACTTCAGCTCCTGAAGAGAGAATGAAAGAAACAGCATGACAGATGTGAGTCATATTGCTTAATGAGCTACTGGAAGGTACTCAGGCACTATGAGGGTGAGTGTGGTATAAGAAACTGTATAGAAAAGAATACAGCAAGCATTGCTTTAACATAGCACACAATGGGAAAATATGATAAAAATGATATCTTTAAAACATTTTAATTGACTCTAGAACCACAAACATTAAAATGCATCAAACATGATAGTATGGTTATTGCATGACTACTATAGGGTGGAGTTCAGCTACATTTACATGTTTAGATATTTGTTAATTTAACCTTATGTCTGATTTCCTCGGTTTGCAAAGTTCATTTTGAAGAATATCCCCCAACATCTTTGCCACTTTAACATTTAAATTGTAGAGTGAAGGAAAGTCTTGTAAAGCGGGTCTGCGCTGAAGACCACAACACAAGATTGGGCATATTTACATGACAGTTAAACACCCCTTGGCAAGCCCAAGTCAGCTGGCACAGGCCAGTCCATGGTGTCTAATTGCAGTGTAGATATACTCTATATGGTCAATAAGGAGTGAGCTCTACAGAGCAGGTATGATCAGACCTTTGTGTAAGTTCTTTCCTCCCAGCTGTATTTCTCTTAACCCTACTGCTTCATTATTTCCATTGCTGCATTATGCTGTTCTCATTCAATGGAAACAGTGTGAAACTTTGTTTTTGTATCTAAGAGAATTGCTACTATTAAAATAAAAACAGAGGCCAGCTCCTATATTCTTCAACCATCAGGCTGAACAGCAGATGGGTCCTTGGCTGGATGATGTACATCACCTGCTGGATCTGACCATTGCTATTCACCTTTTATCTTTCTCTAATGATCACACCAGGATTTGCAACACTAGAAGGCTGCGTCTAGACTGGCATGATTTTCCGCAAATGCTTTTAACTGAAAAGTTTTCCGTTAAAAGCATTTTCGGAACAGAGCGTCTAGATTGGCATGGACGCTTTTCCGCAAAAGCACTTTTTGCGGAAAAGCGTCCGTGCCAATCTAGACGCGCTTTTCCACAAAAAAGCCCCGATCGCCATTTTCGCGATCAGAGCTTTTTTGTGGAAAACAAATCTGAGCTGTCTACACTGGCTCTTTTGCACAAAAGCTTTGCGCAAAAGGGACTTTTGCCTGAACGGGAGCAGAATAGTATTTCCGCAAGAAGCACTGATTTCTTACAGTAGGAAGTCTGTGCTTTTCGAAAATTCAAGCGGCCAGTGTAGACAGCTGGCAAGTTTTTCCAGAAAAGCGGCTGATTTTTCCGGAAAAACTGGCTAGTCTAGGCACAACTGAAGTGGTTAGCTGGGGTGGGAGGGAATATTGGATTATGATACTCTCCCTCTTATATAATGCACTTTGAGATGAAGGGCTACAAAGCAGAAGAACTAAATATAGTAATGATGATTATTCATTCACATGCGCTATCCCCTGCTTGAAACCAAGATAAGCAGCATTGGTGCAAATCACAACTTATAGCTTGCAAGTACAGACCAGTGTAATTATACTGTTACTGGCCACCAGAAGCTGTAATTGCAGGCAAACCTACGAGTCACAAATATAGCGATCAATTAGACCTTGAACATGTTGGCAACGCCCACCTGGGAAAAAGTTCTTTGTAGTATCTCTGGGTATGTCTAAACTACATGGCTCCGTTGACAGAGCCATGTAGATGTGTTTGTTCAGCAAAGGGAAATGAAGCCACGATTTAAATAATCGCGGCTTCATTTAAATTTAAATGGCTGCTGCGCTGAGCTGACAAACAGCTGATCAGCTGTTTGTCGGCTCAGCACGAATGTGTAATGAGATTGGTTACATACCATTCTAGGCAATCTGCAACTGCTAGTAGCAAATATTCCCAATAGCCAGAGATGGGGCACTATTTGGGTTGGACTCAGAGGGTGTGTCTAAACTACATGGCTCCATCAATGGAGCCATGTAGATTAGGCTGATCGGCAAAGGGAAATGAAGCCACGATTTAAATAATCACGGCTTAATTTAAATTTAAATGGCTGCCGCGCTGAGCCAACAAACAGCTGATCAGCTGTTTGTTGGCTCAGCGCGGCAGCCATTTAAATTTAAATTAAGCCGTGATTATTTAAATCGTGGCTTCATTTCCCTTTGCCGATCAGCCTAATCTACATGGCTCCATTGATGGAGCCATGTAGTTTAGACACACCCTCTGAGTCCAACCCAAATAGTGCCCCATCTCTGGCTATTGGGAATATTTGCTACTAGCAGTTGCAGATTGCCTAGAATGGTATGTAACCAATCTCATTACACATTCCCTCCATAAACTTATCAAGCTCAGTCTTGAAACCAGTTATATTTTTGGCCCCACTGCTTCCTTTGCAAGGCTGTTCTAGAATCTCTCTCCTCTGATGGTTAGAAACCTTCATCTAATTGTATGCCCAAACTTGTTGATGGACAATTTATATCCATTCCAGAGAAACTAAATTATTTCTTCACAATTTCACCAAAGAAGCTGTTAGAGACAGAACTCTCTGGCATATTCTTTCTTCTGGCAATAAATACTGATGTGTTAAGAGAGGAACTGCTGCAACAAATAAAGAGCTGAAAGTCACCTGCCACACTCATTTGGCCATCCTTCTTTTATAATATTTTAAGTTAATATGTATACATATTGGGTGAATGAAAATAGAGGATGTACGTGAGGCCAATTATTTTAGTTTGTTATTGGTTTAGGCTATGTCTACACAGCAGTGTTTTTTCAAAATAACTGCCATTACTCTGAAATAACAAAATGTGGGTCTACACTACAAGCCTTTATTTCAAAATAATGTCGAATTGGTGGACCTCTTTCTCCAACCTGGAACCCTCATTTTATGATGAGTAAGGGAAGTCGAAGGAAGAGTGTTCTTCATTTGATTTCCTGCTGTGTAGACAGCACCAAAAGCCAAATTAAGCTATTTCGACTTAAGTTACACAATTGATGTAGCTGAAGTTGCGTAGCCCTGCTGTGTGATGTTACAATTAACCAACATCTTACTATATATTTTAGAAATGTATATCTGTCTGTCTCTGATGCCATTTGTTCAAGGACTCCTCCTAAATGGCAAGAGCCAGGACCACCACATTTGGTATGGAGCTTCCTCTTATCATAAGATAAAGCAAGTGTGGCAAATCTATGGTTGCACCTGTGGGTCCTGAACTTCTGGCGGATAGTGTTCAGCCTCAGAGACTCACTGTGTTCTACCACACGGCCTCTTTTTTCTTACTAGAGACAGTGTTCCCAACATACTGAGCCATATTCATCACAGGCTAGTCTATAATATGGGGGAGAAACCTTCTGTAATCCTGGTCTCCCTATCTAGGGACAGACTCTATAGTGGTGTGGGCAGGGTTGGGGGAACCTGGGCCCACCCATTACTCTGGGTTCTGGCCTAGGAACTCTAAGAGAGAGGAAACAGATGGGGTTTGTTCAACTCCCTGTCTGGCAACTAATTTCCTGGGACACCTCCCCCAAATGATCCCTCCCAGTACCTTTCCTCTGGTACCTGATCCTCCACCACTCTCTTCCTGCCTTGCAGCTCCCAGCACTCACCCAAACTCCTCTCACTCTCAGCACTTTGGCTCCTTCCTTCCTTCCTCCTTGCATGTTTATCTATTTGTTAATAGTGTTGCTTAGTAAATCATCAATATGGGTATGTCTACACTACCCCGCTAGTTCGAACTAGCGGGGTAATGTATGCATACCGCACTTGCTAATGAAGCCCGGGATTTGAATTTCCCGGGCTTCATTAGCATAAGCGGGGAGCCGCCATTTTTAAATCCCCGCTGCTTCGAACCCCGTGTAGCGCGGCTACACGGGGCTCGAACTAGGTAGTTCGGACTAGGGTCCTATTCCGAACTACCGTTACTCCTCGTGAAACAGAAGAGGAGCCCTTTTAAACCTGTCTCAACTGGTTCTAGATTGGCCCCAGGTGGTCTAATTAGCCTGACTCTCTTTGCTCTGGAACATTCCTAATTAACTCTAGGTGTTTAATTGGCCTGACTGTCCAGACTTCTTCTGGAAAATTTCTGCTGGTTCTAGGCCAGTCCCTGCAAGTTCATCTGGAAACAGAGACCTACTTTGTCTAAGGCTCACATACTTTCCTTCTATCACTCTTTTGTAACCTTCTGACCTGACTCTGTCACACAAGGTAAGGGTTTGGTTGTGCCCTGGAACTGATTGTTGAGATGTGCCTGGAATTGATTGTTTCTCATAAAATGGAAAGGGAGGGCCTGGTAGGAGGGACAGTTATACTGTAGAATGACAACAAGAGACCCCAAACTGCTGCAGTGAGATAGTTTTTATTATTTTAATTGGGTATGTAGCTTTTTATTTAATGTTAATGTTAGCACTATTATGCTACAGTGGGTTTGGCTTTGGCAGCTACAGTCTTAAGCCTAACAGAACTATCAACTCACCCCAAGAGCAATGTGCTGTCAATGTATTAATTTATTGAATAATCCTGCTGTTTTTGTTGACAGTTGTGTGTGCCAAGTTTTCACCTTTCTGCCTATGGAGAGAGAAGAGTTAATTTGGCTGACTACAAGGGTGGAAATCTCCATTCTCATCATGTGACCTGCCTGTATCAGCTGCCTTATCCTGAGCTATTAAAGGAAGTGAAAGAGAGTGTTTTTTTCCTCCCATATAAAACACAGCTGCTTTTTGTAATGCACATCACTTGCATACTCTGCTCTCCCTGGTCTACACCACAAACTTACCCTAGCATAACTACGTCACTTGAGGGTGTGGAAAATCATACCCATGAGCAATGCTGTTCTACTGACCTACCTCCTGCAGTAGATAGGAGGGCTTCTCCCACCAACATAACTACCACCTCATAGAGAGGCAGGGCTGCTGATATTGTCTGGAGGCAGATGTGCCAGGGCCTGGCAATTTAAAAGAGTCTGGGGCTCCTGGATGCTGCCGCCACTCTAATGGCTGGAGTCCTGGACCCTTTAAATTGTCACTGGAGCCCTGGGCAGTGCAGGGCATACAGTGTTGAAAGGACTGGCTGTGGGAAGCCAGACCCTAGCCCTGTCCCTTCCATCCAAGGCTCCACCTCTTCTTGGGGGTTGCAGTTTCCCCTCATGCCTTGGACCTTGCCCAAGAGCCCGGCAATTCTATTGGCAGCACAGCAGAGAGGTGAAGACAAGCCCTATTTCCCTTCATGCAACACCTGGAAGGAGAAACTCTTTGTGGAACCTATTCATGTATATGTATTTCTTGCCATGGAGGATAAAACTCCTGTTTTATGCAGCTCGTGTTGTGCTTACCTGAGTTTTGAATATCGAAAACAGTAATGTACCTGTCTTTTTTCCCACTTCCCTGTACATCTATTTATTAATAGTTATAAAGGACTCCTAAGCAGGGAGATTTAATCTCATAGCAAGACTTGGGCAGTGTTGGAGTCATACGGAGTGGATAGCAGACTGATACTGTTGACTGATACTGCATGAAAACATGCAGAGAGTTGGGAATTTGGTTTAGAACGAGTAGAGGTACAAGACGAGGAGATCTGATATCGCCAAATAACTTCATCACGCACCTAGAGAGAGCGATAGACAAGATCAAGAATTAACAACTTGAGGTTCACGGATGATATAGTTATCATCGAGGAAGATGAAGAGAAGCTAGCGAGAACGGTGCCAGTGCTAAATGAGGAAGGGAAGCAGTATGGACTGATTATAAATATCAATAAAATGAAGACAAAAGTATTTGGAGATAAGGAATTAGGAAGGAAAATCAGTGTAGATGGGATCGAATTAGAGAATGTAGAGAAGTTCACGTATCTGGGGAGCAACATGATGTATGATCTAGACTGTAAGAAGGAAATTACAACTAGAAAAGCAAAAGCAAGCGTGAGTTTGAAGGCGATGAATAAGATCTGGAAAAGTAAAGTGATTAGCTTAGGAATGAAGCTGAGCATCTTGAAAACATGTATTTAGCAGCATGTTGTACAGATGTGAGATGTGGGTGATAATGAAAGATTCAAAGGATATTGGTGTTTGAGAGGAGTGGTTATAGAAAGATCCTGAGAATAGGATGGATGCAGAAGGTCACCAAAGAGGAATTATATAGGAAGATACAGCTGAAAGAGAACCTACTGCAGAAGATTATATAAGGGAAGTTATAGCTATTCAGGCATATCTGCAGAATGAATGACAAGCGAAAAGTTAAGACCCTGGTATTCGGCATAATGGATGATCCGAATAGGAGAGGTAAACTCCACAGATAGGCTACGTCTACACTGGCCCCTTCTTCGGAAGGGGCATGCTAATTTTGAAAGTGGGAATAGGGAAATCCGCGGGGGATTTAAATATCCCCCGCGGGGTTTAAATAAACATGGCCGCCGCTTTTTTTCCAGCTTGGGGAAAAGCTGGAAAAAAGCATCTAGACTGGCCCGATCCTCTGGAATAAAGCCCTATTCCGGAGGATCTCTTATTCCTACTTCAAAGTAGGGCTTTATTCCGGAGGATCGGGCCAGTCTAGATGCTTTTTTCCGGCTTTTCCCCAAGCCGGAAAAAAAGCGGCGGCCATGTTTATTTAAATCCCGCGGGGGATATTTAAATCCCCCGCGGATTTCCCTATTCCCACTTTCAACATTAGCATGCCAGTGTAGACGTAGCCATAATGTGTAGATAATATAGTAGATTGGTGCAGAGCTAGTCTACAGAAACTAAGCCACTCTGCACTGGACAGGGAAAGATGGAAGGAAATAGTGAGGGAGGCATTGGACACCAACTGGTGTTGAGCCCATGATTGTTGTTGATGATGATGATGATGAAACTGCCCTTGGTAACATGCTACTCTGCTACTTCAGGGAGTCAGTCCTTTACCACAAATAAATTATATGGATAAAATAAAGGATTTGGTAGCAGCATAATAAATTTAAATTCTCCTTTGCTAAAATCGCCAGACATTTGTTAGTCACTGTAAGTGACAAGGAGCTGAAGCTTTATTTATAATAGGCATAAAGGAAAATAAAAACATAATCACTAATTTTCTGCAGTTAATTCAAAGATTTTGGATGAAATCCTCATCTGACTGTAGTCAATGGGGAAACTTCCATTGGGTCAGGATACCTTTGCCTGAGCTGTGTATGTGTGGTCTCTGCAGCAAAACAATTGCTTGTTCTGAAAGAGGTAAAAGTTGCATTAGCTGTTTAAGCAGAAGTGTTCTTTATAGCACACCACTGCTTGGGCCTGTTAAGGAAAGCATACACAGCCAGTTAAAAATATAAATGAACACAACAATCCCGTGCTAATATACCTACAAAAGTCATTACATTTGATTCAGTCATATCTTATTTTTAGGCTGGCTGTCTAACAAATCCAAGCTAGCTATGACTGTCATCCCAAAAGCTGTCTACAAGGTCAGGTATCTCTGACACTTAACAAAACATTAGTGATTATTACAAAATACTCATTTATGAGTAAGTAACATCCTTGGGAGTTCTTACATAGAATTATGTAAGTTAACTTCTATAAAAACAACACAACAAAATAGCTGGTAAATGCACACCATAGGAACACAGTTCAATCAACCATTGAATATTCTGAGAATATGTTCCTAAAGTCTATAGTAAAACAGAGTTGACTAAACAGGTTTACAAAAAATGTTTATCACCTATTTCGCTGCAGTCAATGGGAGAGGTTTCTAGTGATATCACAGGAAAAATATGAGCAACTAGGGACCCACAGCATTCCTAGAGACTTACTAGACATCCTCTCCAGCACTTCCACTGAGTTGTAAAAGAGGATCTTTGCCTGAGGGCAATCTGCAAAGAACCTTCTCAGGTGAGATGGTAAAAGGGACCTTTGGGACTAACATTCCTGATTTCTAACGTGACATTGTACTATTATCACTTTGTGCTACCCCCACACTTGGTTAAAATGTCATCAGTTTGCACAACATAAAATTTATAGCTAGCTACTTTCAGCACTGCTTGTCTATAATAGGGTACGTCTAGACTGCAGAGTTTGAAAAGCTCTGCTGCGTACAAGGAACACATCTGCTTTTCTGAAAAAAATGTCGGAAAAGCAGATGCGTTTTTTCAGCATCCCTGTAAACCTCATTCTGTGAGGAAGAAGGGATGTTCTGAAAGAGGCTTTTCCCAACATTTGGCCCAGTGCAGACAGGCCAATTATTGGAAAAGCCTCTTTTGGAAGAAAAGTGGAAAAAGATATGGAAATTGCAGTTCACAATTTGCATATCTTTTTCCGATAGAACTTTGCAGTCAAGATGTAGCCTAGAACTTTGTAGTCTAGAGCGGATCTATCACGTCTATAAGGGCATGTCTACACAACAAAGCTAGAGCTGAAATAAGCTATGCAGCTTGAGCTATGTCAATTGGATAGCCAAAGTCGAAATAGCTTATTTCGGCTTTTGGCACTCTCTACACAGCAAGGAGTCCAAGAAAGAGCATTCTTCCTCCGACTTCCCTTACCCCGCATAAAATGAGGGTTACAGGAGTCAGAGTAAGAAGTTCTCCAGCTTTACATTATTTTGACATTGTGTCGAAATAACTGCTTGTAGTGTATACTAGGAATGTGAACGACTAGTTGACATGCTAGTCGACTAGTTGCTTCCCCCCTACTGCCTCTATCAGAAAGAGGCAACAAGGGGGGGGAGAGGAATGGGTGCTTCAAAGAGGCAGTGCTGCATAGAGCCCAGGGCCAGACCCCAGGCTCCACACGGGTGCTGCCACTTTGAAATGTCACTTGCAGCCTGGGCCAGCTGGGGAATGGCCCCGGTCTGCACGCAGCATTTTAAAGCAGCAGCCACTTTGAAATGCTGTGTGCAGCCTGATGTCAGAGTGTAAACTGCGTAGCTTATTTTGAGGTAAGTGTGCTGTGTAGACGTAGCCTTAGAGACTAACAAAAATGTAGTATCATGAGCTTTCATGGACTCAATCTCTCAAAATCTTGATCTTCATAGAATAGGGTTACCATATTTGAACTTTCAGAAAAGAGGACACTCCTGAGAGGGGGATGTATCTGTATCAGCATCTACCAACTCACGCTGTATTAATATGTTATATCATACTATATCATGTTTTAACACATTAATACAACATGAGTTGGTAGATACTGATACATTCCCTCTCAGGAGTGTCCTCTTTTTTGAAAGTTTAAATATTGTAACCCTATCATAGATAGGTACTGTAACAAATAAAAGGCCATACGGGACATCAAAGTCACTCCATGCCATACCATGGCCACTTGGAATTTCATGATAGTGAAGACTTAGCTCAGATCCTTCTTCACCAAGGGTACATCTACACTGCAAACCTATTTTGAAATAACTAGCGCTATTCCAAAATAACTTAGTCCACGTCTACACAGCAGGCAGTTATTTCAAAATAATGTCAAAATATTGTCAAGCCGGAGGATTTTTTACTCTGACTCCTGTAACCCTCTGGCTATGTATGGACTACGGGGGGTTTCCCGAAAAAACCCCGCCGCGTCCAGGGAACATGTTTGCTCTTCTGCTTTTTTTTCGCAGAAGAGCAAATGCACTCTTTCGGGGAGCCCTGTATACCTCATTCCACGAGGGATAGGGCTCCACCGAAAGAGGAGGCTTTTCTGCCATTTGGCCCCATCTAGACTGGTGGGCTGCGTCTAGACTGGCAAGTTTTTCCGCAAAAGCAACTGCTTTTGCGAAAAAACTTGACAGCTGTCTACACTGGCCGCTTGAATTTCCGCAAAAACAACTGACTTTCTACTGTCTGAAATCAGTGCTTCTTGCGGAAATGCTATGCTGCTCCCATTTGGGCAAAAGCCCTCATGTGCAAATGCTTTTGCGCAAGACGGCCAGTGTAGACAACGCGGTATTGTTTTGCACAAAAAAGCCTGGATCGCGAAAATGGCAATCGGGGCTTTCTTGCGCAAAACCGCGTCTAGATTGGCACAGACACTTTTCCGCAAAAAGTGCTTTTGTGGAAAAGTGTCCGTGCCAATCTAGACGCTTCCTTCCGCAAATAGTTTTAACGGAAAACTTTTCCGTTAAAAGCATTTGCGGAAAATCATGCCAGTCTAGACATAGCCGTGCTGTGTAGCGCTCCTTATTTTGAAATAAGATATGCAATTGACGTAGCTCAGTTTGCATATCTCATTTCGAGTTAAGCCCCGCAGTGTAGATGCACCACAAAAGCACAGGTAGATCCTAAAGGAGGCTCTTCCCTCCCTCCCCCATCCCCGATGCCAGCCCCCTACAGGACAGGGGCATTAGAGTCTGGCAAATCCTCCTCCACTCGCCTTTCTATTTTCCTCTAGCAGCCTTCCCCATCAGATCCCTGGCAGTCCCTCCATTGCGCTTCTCCTCCAGTCCCGGGGGGCGGGGGGG